GCATATTTAGTCAACAAAACCTTTTTTTCGAGTCGACATAGCGACCAAAACTGTCGTAGTTTGGAGCGTTGTTACCTAGTTTTTTCTTTTCAAGATTATCCAAGGAACCTGGTCGCCTTTACAGCTGTCCATCGAGATTTCAAAACTAACACCACAACTAAGTGTACATGTCAGTATGGTGAGGCAGGCCCGAGAATTCGTTCGCAGTTTCTTGCAACATCTGCAACAAAGACGTTCAGTTTCGCGTGTGATTGTTGCAGAATAAAGCGCTCCTTCACGGACCAAGAAAATCTGGTTTCCTTATCACCACTTATAACCATCTTTTTTCTTTCTAGGGATGAAATTTGCCGTCAAGAGTTCCAGTATGCTAAGAAGACCGCGAGAAAACCGGTTATTCCCGTTGTAGTAGGCAGTGGATCTTTCGAATGGATGATGACAGTTGTGGGTTTGCTTATTGCCGGTGAAGTGTACATTCACTTCAGCAACAGAGATGTACAGGATTCTAAGATGACAGAGCTTCTGCGAGCTGTTAAGAAGAGCGTGCCTGAAGTTAAATTTCCCGAAGAATTGGGAAGCGTTCAAGGTATGTTTTGTATTTTTGCGGTCACATACAAGGATAGTACCAACCGACTTTAAAGTTACAGCCACCTTGTCTAGCGTAACAAAACAGTTCTACCCCACAGTAGCTTCCTTTTGAATAGCGACATGCAAGGGGTTCATCCACAGAATTTTAAGTGAGAACAACCTTGCACAGCGTAATACACAGTTACACATGTGAAAGTACTGTCCAATAGCTTTCATTTAGATGGTCGCATACAAGGGTTTGTCCTCAATTTCAAACGTTGGAATAAGCACGAGAAGCATAATAAACAGTACCGCATAAAAATATTGCTCACGAGGTTTCATTTGAATGGTCACACGAAGTTTCATCCATAAGGTTAACATTTAAAACGTAACGTCCATTCTTGTTTCTATATTTCAACCTAAATTTGTCAGTCTATTAAGTTCACAAAGTGACTTGAACTTTTTAAAATTTTTCCAGATTTGCCAAGTGCTGGAGATACCTCGGACGCTGGAATCCGAGATTCCGCTGACGTGTTTATCAGTTATTGCTGGCTGAATTCAGAGAATGCACATAAAGCCAAACATGTAAGTACTTGTTGATGCATATTGTTTTGGATGTACTTTGTTCGCGAAAACTCCCATAAAACCCAGCAGCAAATCGGTGATTGTGAATAAAGCTGACGATAGGTGTCACAACTAAGTGATTGTCCAACCTAACGAATAACTGCCCATCCTTATGTTTCACTCATGGATTGACTGACTGACAGAGCGACCGACTGACTGAATGCCTGATTGACTGACTGTCTGGCTGACGGACTGACTGACTGACTGACT